AAGCCCCGCCGCTCAAAGCAGGAGGAGGAAATGCAGCCAGTCCCGGGCTTGCCTCCTTGCGCTGGGTCTCTCACGTCTCGGTCCGCACAGACCGACCTCTACTGTCTGTCTCCTAAGGAGCATCCTGCCCCTACCGTGTGTGTTCAGACGGAGCAGCCCCATGTTGACATTCAAACTCATGTGAAAACGAGGCAGGACTGAATTCCTTCCGCTCAAAGCAGGAGGAGGAAATGCAGCCAGTCCCGGGCTTGCCTCCTTGCGCTGGGTCTCTCACGTCTCGGTCCGCACAGACCGACCTCTACTGTCTGTCTCCTAAGGAGCATCCTGCCCCTACCGTGTGTGTTCAGACGGAGCAGCCCCATGTTGACATTCAAACTCATGTGAAAACGAGGCAGGACTGAATTCCTTCAGACCCGAAAGGTTTTCTCTCTCCGGCAGGGAGGTCACAATAAGAACATCCCATAATCACCAGAGCAGCAAACTCCTACTCATTGTCCCAAATATCCTTTCCGCTTAGCAGACCTGACACCTTCCTCGGGATTTAAGAGTTGTGTTATGAATGAAATTGGCAGTGGGGTTGGCTGGGAAATTAAAGTGATCAGGGTCCCTACTTAGGGTCCAGTGTGGATCTTCAGGACTCTCAAAAGAACTCAAGAGTGGAAGCTTTTAAAGCAAGGAGGGGGGGATTAATCTGAGCCCTTATTTCCCTTGTCTCCTATCTGTCATAAGTGTCTCAGTTTCCAGTATTTCATCTTTGCCTCTCCCTCTATTTTTTCTCTTCTAAGAATGTGCATATCTCTGCCGGTTATAGCCTCCTTCAAAGAGAAAGCCAGCTCATGCCAACAAACATAGGGCTAAGTTAAGGTGGACAGTGGGCCTTGATCCTAAAAGCCATCAGAGCAGGGAGGTAGCCATCAGCAGAGTTGAGGGACTTCCCAGAAATCTAGGAGAATAACAAAGTAACAGCTGACACAGGTAGGTAGCTAGCTCACTAGCACTGCCTGCTGGACATGGCTGGAGTAAACTCACTGACAGCTTAAACATGAGAAGCTTTTCTCTGAGTTTTATTAATGATTTTTATGGGGCGGGGGGCTTAGGGCATTTACCTATGCATTTACCTCTTTAAAAAGGTGGTTTCTGGGACCTACCTGAGGTATATTAAAATCCCCAGTAATGACCAATGAGATTACATTATCTGGAGAACATATTTATGGAGAGGGCCCAAAAAGGAAGGGGCTTGGGCTATCTAACTCAAAGAATAGGTAAATCTGATTAGAGAATCCTAAGCACTATAAGGAATTGTTTATTTTGTTACTATTCATTTAGGCTACATCTACACTGAGTTTTTGCGGCAGAAAATATGCTAACGAGGGACTCATTTGCATTTCTTTTTGCGCAAGGGGTTTTTGCGCCAAAAGAAGCAGTGTGGATGTTTCCTTTTTGCGCAAAACCTCCATTTTGCACAAGATCCTTATGCCTCTCTGGGACAAACATAAGGATATTGTGCAAAATGGGGTTTTTGCACAAAAAGGAAACATCCACACTGCTTCTTTTGGCGCAAAAACCCCTTGCGCAAAAAGAAATGGCAGAAAATATGCTAATGACATCACAACTCATGCAAATGAGTCCCTCATTAGCATATTTTTTGCCACAAACACTTGCCTGAGGCTACATCTACACTACAAGGTTTTTGTGCAAAACCGTCCACACCTCAAGCACGTTTTTGTGCAAGAAAATCTACAGTCAATCAACAGAACCAGAGGGCTTCTTGCGGGATAGGTATACCTCCTTCTATCAGGCGTAACTCCTTTTTGTGCTACAGCTCTTGCTCAAAAAGACATGTGTGGACTCTGCAGGGGGTTCTTGTGCAAAAAGAGCCTATCCAAAAACGCACAGGTGCTCTAATGGCCATTCTGTGAATGGCAATCAGAACTTTCTTGTGCAAGAGCATCCATGCAGTGTGGATGCTCTCTTGCGCAAAAGCCCATCGCAAAAGCGATGGGCTTTGAGGTGTGGATGCGCTTTTGCGCAAGAACTTTTCCACAAAAGACTTCTTGTGCAAAAACCCTGCAGTGTAGACGTAGCCTCAGTGTATTATACTGAGAGGCGGGGAAAGCTTATTTTAAGAAGACTGCTTCTAATAGTGAAGGACACCTGAGCTTTTATAAAGAGTACTAGGGCACGAACTTTTAACAGTATAAGGAAACAAACAAAAAAAAAAACCTCCTAAGCTCTAGTAAACTATTTTGATTTCTAGAGTTGTTCTAACTTAACCATGACAGTGGAAAGCAGTATCCAGGAATAGCTGCAAACTTTTGTCTTTGAAAACTTTCTGCGTGTTTGTACAGAAGTAACAACCCCCTAGACTGTATTTTACATATTCATCTGAACTTCCTTGTTCTGCTGTGGGTTTATAAAGGATGATTAGTACTTACAGGCACGAGCAAACGCTTGTGATCACTATCTCAGTAGGTGCGCACCTAATTTAGTTATGCTTACGTTACTGCAAAGAGGCAGACTGTATAAACATTAAACTAAGAATAGGCCAGACAGATTTTTTTAAAGGTGCATTAATTCCAGGAAAAAAAAATCTATTCTGCAATAGCACAGCCTAACAAATACCAAAGCCTAGATTCCGTGACTGTCAATGTGGACAGTTTACCCACCCATGCAGAACCCCATTGAAATCAATGTTTCCAGTTCTTGGGTTTGTAAAAAAATTATTCTTGAAAACCCTGAATGTTGGGTCTGATTTTATCAGGCAATGATTCCTTGATTCTGCAATTTTACTCTCATCAGGTGGACTCTTTAAAGTGTTCTCCTGGAGAGTTTTCAATGGAAACAGTGCAGCACTGGGTTTGAATAAAAGGAGTTGTCTGTGGAACTGAGTAAGAACTCTATAAAACAGAAGTGAGACAGGTTTTCAGTAGATGGAAAGATACAAGGAAACAAACCTGGAAAATTATATCTTTTAGTTTTAATGTAAAGCTAGAGTTGGTAACAGGTAAAGGCATGTTTATATTAGGTTTGATCTGAAAGTTTTCCTTTAATCCTGTGCTCAGCTTTGCACAGATAACTTACTTTCTGGAGTAGCTTGATAATTAGATTTATGAAAGTTACCTGCAACAGGAAAAGTAAAATATATTAATTCAATAATAAGAAATTTGTGCTAAATCTGTTAATCATTTGTGAATCATTTGTGAAAGAGTGCCTAGTCAGAGAATTTGAAATTAGCTATGCTAATAACCAAATTCTTCAAACCACATGCCCTTCTGATGGATTCTCTGTAGCAGACATGAGTGAGTCGTTACTGAGTAATGCTGTAGGCTTTCAGGGTGATTAGGTAATGAATCACACGTGGAAAGAGAAACATTATAACTCTTCTACTTGTGATTAGTTACCTAAGCAATCCAAAGTCTCACGCCGGTCATCTCAAGAAGTGGGCTCTGCCCACGAAAGCTCATGATACCAGCTACTTATTTTGTTAGTCTTTAAAGTGCTACCAGACTCTTTGTTGTTGTTTTTTGAAAGGTAGCCGTTAGTTGTAACTTTAAAAATGAGTAGTCCTATAGCACTTTAGAGACTAACAAATATACAGTGCTTTTTTTTGTAAAAAAAAAGGTGCCAGTACTCCAGGCTCAAAGTTGTTGAGCCAAAAAAAAAAAAAAAAAAAAAAAAAGGCTGTGCCGGGGTCAAAACGCGATCGCGGCCCCTTTAAAAGCTGTGTGTCCCGAGCTGCCCAAGGAAAATGCGAATAGATGCCAATACGCCAGAGGAGAATACCATTCAATTAAGGTATGCTGGGAAAATAGGCGGCGGTATGCTATCCTGGGGCATACTGTCACAAAAAAGCACTGCATATATATACAGGCAGTCCCCAGGTTACGTACAAGATAGGGACTGTAGGTTTGTTCTTAAGTTGAATCTGTATGTAAGTCGGAACTGGTACATATTATAGATGCCAATACGCCAGAGGAGAATACCATTCAATTAAGGTATGCTGGGAAAATAGGCGGCGGTATGCTATCCTGGGGCATACTGTCACAAAAAAGCACTGCATATATATACAGGCAGTCCCCAGGTTACGTACAAGATAGGGACTGTAGGTTTGTTCTTAAGTTGAATCTGTATGTAAGTCGGAACTGGTACATATTTTCAGCCGCTGCTGAAACTGACCGCCAGTCCAGAGGTCAGTTTTATTCTCCCACACCTCACTTCCCTCAGTCCTTTATTCTCAAGCTGAGGTGTCTG